AGGTGCAGTCTCGTCGTGTCGGCTGTTAGTAGGAAGAGATCGCAAAACTGAACTAACCTTCTCGGACATACTTTCTGGAAGAGGCAGCGCCAGAGTATAGAGTGGTCGACTGAAGTGAAAGCCGGTTTTAGATTGAGGAGGACTGAAATGGTGGATCTACGAAAGGAACGTCTGTGTTCTAGATCTTGCCGAAGAGTAAAAAATGTGGTCGATAGATAAACCCTCGCCCCGGTCTAAAATCAGTTTGGTTTCCGTACACCGTTCACGTACGGCAGAAAATCAGATGTTAACAGCTCTGCCGCGATTGTCTTTGACAAATCTTATCCCCGTCTGTGATGTTCATAAGTGCACAGATGTACACACACACACACACACACAGTGCAGTAAATGGAGAAACAGGTAGGTTAAGTGTGTACTTATTCACGCAAGCTGCTCACAAGCAACCGGACAATTTAGCATCACATTCGTGCATCCAAGGCTCAGCGATGATAATGAAAGAGCAGATAGCACGTTAGGAGACGAATAGAACTCACTAAGCGAGGAATCAATAACTTCTTGGAGTAAGCAGAATATGAAGAAGGCTCCCTTGTCACAAATTGGTTTTGCTGCAGCATCCCCGGCAAAGTTGCTGAGAACAGACAAAACGACTGTGAATCCGTCTGCTTTGCGAAATTCGGCCACGGCTGGAGCATAGGCGCGGGTCAAACCTGATGTATTTTCGTTGAGAAAAAACATTGGATAGGAATTCAACAGTACTACCGCCTCACAAAGCATATGGTTGAATTCTTGAACAGGATAGCGATATGAAAAAGACTCCAGAAATACCAGAAACGAATGGACGTGTCCCCTTACTCGTTACGAACAGATACATGCAATCGTTCTCGTATGGTATTCGAAGACCGGAATTTCTCGACTGATTTGTCAGGCTCTGTGTCGAGTGATGGCAATGCATCACCCCATGTGCGACTGTTCAGCGCCCGTATTTTTCATTCCCTCTATTGTAGGCATGCACGACCCAGATCGGACAAATTCGTTGTCCAGTGTTTGCAATAGGATTGAGCCAATGCAATAAATGATTAGAAGTCGGTTCCGATTGCGGTTGGATTGATATAATTCATAGGACAACTACGATATTTGTTGCAACGACGAGATCGTATTATTTTAAAGGATTATTGACAAGAAAAAGCCACATGTGAGTACCTAAAAAATAATACCCCATCCGGCTGGGTCTTATCGTTACGATTGTGGTGACAGTGTGGCTACTGATACACAGTCTGAATGGTAGTAAAGGTGATGTCATGACGAAGACTAATAAATCTGTTACTTGAAGTGGTGAGCCAGGAAAGGAACAAATAGGTAGGAGAGTTTTAAATCCAATGCATAATGATGAAACTCATCAATGAATTTTCGTGACTCTGTTGGGAGAACAAATTCTACTTGTTACTAAACACATACATACATACATATGTTAACGCCTTGAATACAGATGCTACTTACGCAAGAACAAAGAAATGAAAGTGAGTGCTAGAGGTAAATAGCGGAAGAGGAAGCCGCTTAAGAATTTGTCTGTTTCGTGTCAGTTTGTCCCTCAAATGGTACAAAAGTTTAATAACCAAACTGTACGGTAGTTTAGTCATCGATTTCTGTTCTGGGCCATATCTCCAAAGGTCTCTCAAGAACGACAAATTTGCCGAATTTATTTGGATGAGTCCGACCATAGGATTAGCAATTACGAGAAAAAGCCACAGTCTTCGATTAATCACAAAAAGCCCCGAGAACGACCGTGAGAACTGGTGGGCAAAAATAGATGGTGAAATGGAATTGGCCGCCACGTTACAGAGTGGTCAAAGACGGTTCGCATTGAGAAGGAACACTGTAGGTCGGTGGATCGCGGTCGGAGAAATAACGTACAATAAAGATGGACATAGTATTCACACTAACGAACAACGGCTTGATGGCAGGACGGAGTATTTCACCGAACGGTTTAGATCCACTGGCACCAGCCGGATTACGTATTATGTTAAAGCCGGAACTATGTGGGCAGTGTTATGTGATCCTCCGACAGAAGTAGAATTACGGTCCCCTGAGGAGGGAGAAAAAACAGCAGAAGCTGAAGAGATTCTCCTCACATCTACCATGTTGAGGTGACAACCTCGTGGACTTTATCGTACTTTACATTAGGACGGCTAACTCTCGGGAGAGGATAAGCAGGTGTCATGGATAGCTGGAATCGCAGCTGACAACGCTC